TCCTCGTGAAGTTGATGTAGGGGTGTGTGTGTGGCGCACTGTGATTCTGTCCTTGAAAGTGCCGTAATGAACTGATGGGAGCGAGGGAGGGAGGGAAATAGAAAGAAAGACAGACAGAGAGAAATAGGGGGGTTGGGAATAGACCTGTAGGGGTCAGGGACGAGTGACCTGCTTCAATTCTCCTCTTGAACCGCCCCTTCAGTTTTAAAGTGACAGTTCACACTGCAGAAATGATGTTCTTCTTTAGTATTTTTGTATTGTTTTCCAGTACAAATATCTTAACGTTCTTAAATCAAGATACATTGACTTGAGAAGTAAAATGACTTTTGAGTTTATGCTTAAAGCAATAAAAAAATATCTGTTAATGGGGTAAGAAAATCATTGTTTTCCATTTGAATTACGTTTATTTTCTCACTAACAGATATGTTTTTTCTTGTTTTAAGCATAAACTCAATTTTTATAAATTTTTTTAGGAAGCGAGAAGTAAATGTATCTCAAGTGAATGTATCTTGATATATGATTGTTTAGATATTTGTACTGTAAGACAAGACAGTGCACCTTTTTTAATGTACTTTTATGTCTCACCTTGAGCAAAGAAAATGTGCTATATAAATAGAAATGTATTATAATTATTATAATTATTATTTACTCTTACAGTTACATGGTGCGTTTCTGGTCTCAAATTGTAGCTTTTTAGTTTATAAAGTTTATAAATGTGTGAATTTCCATAACACTGAATGTTGTAACAAAGGTAATAAAGAGTTGGTTATTATTATTAAGTCTCTTTCCGGCTCAGACTGCATTGGTTAAGCTTATGGGGCTGTCACGTGATGAACGAACGACTCAAACCCGAAGACTCGAAACAGGTGATCTACTTGACTAATTCCAGTACAGAACCTATAGGATGTTGCGCATGCGCGACTGAACGAATCACTCCCCAAGACGACTCGTTCTTCCTGAGTCACATTAAAGATTCGTTCAAAATGAACGAATCGTTCAAGAACGACCCAACACTACTAATTATGGGCGACATCAGAAATTTATATTATATAATAGATGCTTTTTTGAAAATTTTAGCAATTTAAAAATATTAAAAAAGGATTTTTTACACGGCACCCCTGCTCTCGACAGACGGCACCCCGGTTGGGAAACACTGATTTAGGCTACTGGTGAAATTCTAAAACGCTTAACGTGAAACACGCTTAACGTGGCTTAATGTACTAAGACAGTGATATTAACAGACCAAACTCACTAAACATCATATTAATAAAGTATACTATCTACAAAAAATTGTTTGCGTTTAATAACACGTTAAGCCTTTCCTCCCATAGAAAACCGTTATAAGAAAATGCTTAAAGTGGCTTAATGTACTAAGACAGTGATTTTAAAAAAATATATAAAATTTTTTTTGGCTCATCTGATTTTTTGTAGAGAGTATACTTTATTAGTATGATGTTTAGTGAGTTTGTTTTTTTAAAATCACTGTCTTAGTACATTAAGCCACGTTAAGCGTTTTAGAATGTCCCGGCTACTGTGTCTGGTTTCGGTTTCGTTTAGAAGACATCGCCTCTGGTTCCCTCAAGATTTTCCAGAGGGTTGCACAACGATGAATACTTTGCTATGTATTCTTGTTAAACTCTGCCTATTTCTCTTGATAAAGAAATAACACACTTTGATTAGAAAATAAGCTACTCGCACAAACGTTCACTTTTTGCATTTTCGTAACTCCCTTGTAATGCCTTTTATTTTTGCAGATATATTATCAAAGCTCTTTACATTTGAAGAAGAAGAAAAAAAGATGGTGATTGTTATTGTTAAATTCAGATTTTCATGCATGAACAGCCACTACATCTGTGTTTATCAGGCAGCGTTGTGACTTGCCTGTTACAACAACTACAATAGTGTATTCCCCCAGTATACCATGCGGGAGACCCTGACATTTATACAATTCAATAGAAAAGGCAGCAGACTGAAGCAAAACCGTCCATGTGTAGATATATGTATCATTTAAAATGGTGGCCACGCCCCTTGTCGCAACGCTACTCTAATCACAGCTTACTGCAAACCGTAGCTTATACAGTATATAGTGCACACAGGCAAGCACATGAACACACATGCACATTCTCACTATTAACACTACACCAACCTTTCTGCAGTCCTGATCGTAGCTCTTGTGTTCTGCATCCTAATGAGCGATTGTGATGAAACTAGAGAAGCTCGAAACAGAGGAACTTAGTGCTTTACAGTGAGATGATAGAAACTAAATGACACGTAACATGCAATAAATCTATCCAGTTTAGTTTTGAAATCATATGTGTGACACATATAAAAGGTAAACAAGGCCTAAATGGTTTAAAGCTAGGCAAACATTCAACAGCTAACTTTTGCTCCTCCCTTCTTTCTCTTCTCTTCCTCATACACTCTTCCGCCGCAAAACAGGTTGATCAGGCTGTAGGGGAGCGCGGGGCACACAGTAACGCGGGTTAGTTGTAACACACGTGGTTTAAATATTTCCACACATGCTAGCATAACCAAATTTACAGTATTTACTAGTTACCATATCAACATTATATAGAGAAAAAAAGTGCACCAAAATGCAAAATGCAAAAAGTCTTTTGAAGATATCGCTGAACATTTATTTTACCATAGTAAAATTATATTTCTGGCTTAAGTAAATTTTTCATCTCAGTTTTTATTACTAATTTAAAATGAGACAAATCTGCTATTATTTTAATCTCCA